TGCAATCACGATTAATTTCCCCTTTGCTTGCTCTGTAGCAGTTCAGGTTAAGAATCTATGGAGTGAAACTCTTGGCAATGGTGTTGTGAGTTAAACTGTTTGCAAGATGTTTTTTAAAACAACTGTACACATTTTGATAAACCTGAAAGCCTGTTAATAATTGAGAGCTGTGCTACATAACCCCTACTCAGTGTGAACAGCAGACCAGTTTCACAACTTGAGTGGAATTTTAGGGTGGGCAAGGGTGGGAAGGGTAAGAAGAAACTTTTCTAGACTTTACATTAAAGCCTTGATAAATTGTTTAGGAAAGATGGATAGTTGGTGAGATTTGTTCATGAATTATCATTTCTTTTATTGTTTTGGAAGAAAAAGTTAAGTGCACTGTAGCTGGCTTTCATAGAAATATTGGCGCTAAAGGAAGGAAGGAAGGAAAGTTTCAGACACAACTCTATTGAACTGATATTTATTGCCTTCAGCACAATTAGAAGCAAAAATCAGAAGCACTGATTTTGCTGTCTCTTCTGAAAAACCCTCCTGTAAGGCTCTGAATACTAAACAGTGTCATTAAAGGCAACACAATCTAATTCAGAGATGAATGCAAGTTGCACCTGGACATAATTTTTAGATAATTAAAGTTTGTGACCTGATGAGACCTGGTTTGGTCCAGTTTCTGGCACTAACATCAAATTAAATGAGCAAACACTATTTATATGTCAAATAATAGTTAACAAGCAGACTGACCCAAAATTGGCATCTCACTACTACAGGTAATATCAAGTTCATCAGTTCTTGTAAGTACCTTGCTGGAACACTGTGTTGAAGAGCGACAATTAGATACAATTTAATGACATTTTGTGGAAAACTAAAAATCTCAGATAACTACACCTCAGGAGACCTACACTCTACAATGTGTAGTCCAGCTTTAACAGAAAAAAAACAGCTATTATTAGTGCCTTTCAAAGCTTTGCTTTTATTTTCTTCCACTTACCTGTTTTACACTATAGTGTGCTTACCAGTACTGGCATATACGTATTATATTTGTATGTAGTACAAGGAGTGTTTTCTCACATACGACTGTTATAACCTCTAAGCAATAGAACTCAGCTGTTTTTTTTTTTTCTGGATTTATTGCACGCTGAATTAGTTTCCCCAACATTTGAGTGATACATTTAAAACTTTATAACTTAAAAGAAAGCTTGTATTTGGAAGAAAACCCCCAAATAATAGAAAATTACATATAGGTATATGAGTCATCCAGCTATACATTTGATAAGGTCATCTGATTAAGGAACTTCTATTTGCTCCCATTTGCACTTGTAATTTAGGAAGGAGTGAAAGGGAAGTGAAAAAATGTACTTGATTCAAAGGTATTATTACAGCACTAAGTATTTTTTTTCCTCCCAACTTAATAGGTTTGTTCCCATAACCCTTTTCAGCATCCCCTGTAGCTCTATATTGTTATTTTATTTTAGCTGAATGACAGTTTAAATGTTGTTGTAATAATGATCTGTCTTTAAAACTGGTATCATTTTGGTTTGGGATCTTGTTAAATACTTTCCTCTTTAATTGCCTTTTCATTCAACCAAAAGACTTGCAATGGCAACCACAGCACAGCTGATAAACAGCTCATTGTATCAGTCACAGACTCTCATAATGGAGCACCTTAATAACAGCAACTTCTGTACTTCTTGAAGGCACGAGATAAATTAGGTTCAAAGTCCATTATTTGAACAAGGGTATCTGACTTATGGCAAATCTATCTGAAAGAGTATTGTAGAATTGCATTTTATCTTTAAGAAATGTGTTTTCTAAAAGTAAGATATTTACTTCTGTTGAAGTAAAGGATTTAAACAGAAGAATTTCTCTCTAATGTTTGTTGACTCATACTAGAATGATGAGATAGAACAGAGCCATACATCAACCAACCAATGTGAAAAACTTAGTGTTGCATTTTATTTCAGGAGGGAAGGCTGAGCACAGAATGCCCCATGGTTTTGCTGGAAGCATACTCTCTCTTCCTTATTTACCAAGCTATATAGACACTGAAGAAGGTGACAGCACTCTTAAGCTTTCAATATAGCTGGAATTTATGGATGTGCACATTTACTTTTTCTTTCACAAAGAACATCACAATGGCAGTGCTGGAGACTGCATTTCTCTACCTCTGTAGAAGAGCTATAATGTAAAGGGAGGCAAGGCAGGTGTTTGGTGGATTTTTTTTTTTTTTTTTTTCTGTAGATGCCCTAGAAGTTTGTCCTCTTTGTCAAGTAAAGTACTGAGAATGGGTGAAAATAGAACTCTGCCTTTCTTCCCAGGCCTGTTTTTTGGGAGATTTCCTTGCTGTGTAGTACCAACTAACAAGTACCACATACAGTATTCACTCTGGTGGCCATTTTCTGAGTTTTGTTAAGCATTGAACTGACACTAAGAACTCATTTTTTTGGGTGCCTGTCAGGCATCAGCAGACAACCTCTGGGTTTTAGTATGACCTGGAAGAGATTCAGACTTATAGTTAAACAACTGGGAAATGCTATAATGCACTGAAATTTCCTGTACAAGTTTCTTTGGTTTTGGCTCAAATAACACAGGTTCCATCTTCTTATGTAAATGCATGCACCTAATCTTTACCAGAACTGCCAAGAGGTCAGCCAATCCTTTCTTGATATTTCTTGATTCACAAGTACGACACAGATAAGATTTAAGTCAATCAGTTACTATTTATACAAAATTCCTTAAGGTATAAATGAAAAGAAAACCTACTGTGATTTTTGATCCCATCTTACCAACCCCTTCATTAAACTGCCTCAGTGTCCATGGTCTCCTGCTCCTGGGAGCAGGGCTATTTTGCTTAGAATAAATAGATGATTTGGGGCAAAAGAAGGTACTCTGTAGACTGAGTGCCATGCCAGTGAGATAAAGTGGAGACTTAAGAGCAAAAGCAAGGTGAGTCAGTAAACCTTGTCTGCAGAAGGGTCAACTAGAAGTAGGATTTCGCAACCATAATACTGTTAACAGGAGTTCAAGCAGTGCAGTTTCTCCTTGTCATGGATACAGAGGGCCTGCCTAAATAGGTGGAGACAATAGACCACTTAAGTCCTTCTGGTAAAGCAGCTTTGATTCAGAGTAGTGAATATGTAATATTATAGGCACTTACAGAGATTACTGGAAAATTTGCAATAGAAATTATGTATGTGGAAGCAGAAAGAGGGAAAACTGAGGAAACCCTTACAGCTGCTTCTCCAGCCCATTAAAGGTCCATAGCTATTGGGTGCCTTTCATCTTTTTCTCTCTTGAATAAGGAAACAAAGTTCAGCTTTTTCCTAAATACTGGGCCAGATGCTGTACTGCTGTCAGCACCTGCAACACTGCTCTGTTTCCTTTGAGTTGCAGACATAGACTCCTGGCATCAGGATCTGTAAGTGAAATTAGTAGGGCTGTGCATCCATGTGTAAGTATTGCTGTTGTTGCAAGACATCTGACACTTAAAACTTTAGTATATGAAGCGACTTTGGGAACAAGCATCCTGAGTTGTGAGAATAATTAACTACTACCTTCTTGAGACTTTTGATTTGCATTACTACTCCCTTTAGTATTTCTCTATCCTTTGAGTGCCCTCCCTGGTCAATCTGTCTGTGTTCTGTGTGCTTTCCACTGATTCAGGGTGGCAATGCCTAGCTAACACGTCTCCTCTTGAATGTTGGTGTTTCAATACACGGAATTCTTCTGTAATGTAGGCTGGCAGTAAAGTCATCTTTTTGGCTTCTAAAAATATATTTTTCCCAACCACAGTTTCAACTGAAGTTTAGGACTGTTGCATGTCTTGGGGAGACAGATGCATCTTAGTGTGTACAAAATAGAATAAACATGAGATCTAGGTGAATAATGGCTTTCTTGGCAAATTAATAATATTTTGATGCCTGTTGCATTAGAGCATGAGGAACAAACAGGTGTAAAATGAACATGGCCATTACACATCATGGTCTGCAGTTGCAATTGGTTAGTCTGTAAGGTACATGGCAAATTTTGTGCAGAATCCTCTAGAATATGCCAGTAAAGACAGTTTCCAAGATGCAAAGATATCCATAAAGATTACAGCCTAATGTCTAGCACTTTGAAACATTCCAGTAGGTGTACTACTTTTATTATACTTTCATTAAGCTTATTTATGGTAGAGGCTCTTTCCATATTGTAGAAATGTTGCCACAACAATTTTTGTGTGTTTATTGTTACTTTTTGAGTAGCCCCTTTCTCAGAGAAAACTAAGAGGGCTGTTGTTTTAGCACACTTGGATACTGACAGTTTTAGTGGATCTGTGATGTTATTGGCATAAGATTACTTCAGTAACTAAATATTTTACAATACTAAAACTTCTACTGGGAACTAATATCAATAATATAATTCAACACAAAAGAAAGTGTATGGTATCATGATGAGAATAGAGGCAATATCATTGCTGGAAAAAAATACTCTCTAGGAAAAGTATCACTATCATTGATTTTCCTTAGAAAACCTCACAAACAAAGCATATTTGCCATATTTATGATATAGACCTCATCTTATGCTTTAACAGCATTCTGTCAACCTCATCCATATGAACTGAATGTCTCAGTATTGTAAATGGCATGATTAGGATCACAGCAACAGCCAAACATAGCATCAGCTCTGCTAGATCTACCCTTCTGTTTTATGTGCACATGGATGCTAATGTAGTAGGCCCCTGATCTGGAGGTTTATCCTCTGGAAATAATAATGCTAGATTTGCTTGTTTGCCCAAAATATATACTTCTCTGGGTTGTGACAGTGTTAGAGATTTTTGAGTTGATCAGAAGTACAAGTGTTTATTTTGCATGTTTTTGGTAGGCTGTTATAAACGAAGAGTAGGTTAGTCCAAACAGTAAATACAAGGAAATTGTCCTATTTCATTTTTTAATCCAAATTTGTTACATTTCTGAATCCTGGGATAGTAATTTTGTTCTCAGATTTTCCTCTCCAGTTTCTATTGTATTTTGAAGTGTCTGGTTTTATATCCAAGGTTTCTCAGGATTGGAGTTTGGGGATCCTGGGAGTGTGTTTCATGTGAAGATCTTTTTCTTGGAGGAAATTCATCATTAATAGCTGGGTGGATTCCGGTGCAGCTGAAGTGTCTGATACCAAGGTAAATGACATTGCTTAAAAATGATGGCCGTGAAATGCAAGTACATTGCAAATCACTCAGCTGCAGAGTCTTGGAATAAGAGCACTTCAGAGCTGATGTATGGACTGATGTTGCCATTTAATGTGGTTTCCCAGCAAACCTTTCATAAAATTCATGACTGTAGCTGACCTCTGTTACTGTGTTCCTCTTAGGGGAAAAAAAAAAAGGCTATAACCCAGCTCTCTACAGCAGTGCACTGAATAGTGATGTGTGATGTGAAGCAAGGTGAGGGGAATCATGTTCACTTCACCACAGACACTAGAGGTAAGCCTGTAGTCAAACAGTTGATTAAATGTCACAGCATATTCGACAGTCTTCTGGGCTGACAAGGCTCTATTCTGACCAGCTTCAAACTAGACTGATTCAAATAACATTTTCTACGGGCTCAAACCACATTTTCTACCAGATTTACTCCATTGCCAGTGTTGCTTTACACCTGTAAAGGTAAAAGCAGAACCATCCATCAGCTTCCAGTGGAAAACATACAGCTTCTTTATGTTATTATTTCTACATAATACAAGACACTGCTTATAGTATGTTGCTTTTGTGTTAGATATAGTTATTCGGCTTCTGGTTTATGGATGGCTATGAGTGCCGATGTTTCCCGAAATCAGCAGTTCTGGCCTGTCCTGTAAAATCTTAGCTTCTTGTGCAAAAACTGGTGTACTATTTTTTCACTTTCACTATAGCTTACAGTCAAGGAACAGTTTGCTGATGTGTGTTAATGAATGCAACAGCAAGCTGAATCTGAGGCAAAAGGACTGGCTAACGTGGTGATGCCTGAGCCACCTCCAGAGAGGGCAAAACACAGTGCAGATGTGAAAAATGTAATAATAAAGGTGCTCAGGTACCATGAAAATGCAAAAAGAGGCAAATAGTATCTAGTCAGACAGATGGCATATTTAAAAGTGAGAGGAGACAGATGCTGAAGAAGCGCTTGTTTTCTTCCTTCCTCTGTGTAAAATGGTATAGCAAAATCTACCTCTCCTTTCTACTTCCTTGTTTTTCAACTTCTCACCATCCTCAGAATACTTTAAATTATGAGAGCTGAGAAGGTATAGTCTTTCATATATGATTCCCATGTTTTGGGAAATAAAAAATTGACAGTTACCAGTACACGCCTTTGTCAGTATCACCAACTAAGAATAATTTAGCCCTTCTGTTCCCTCAGATCAATTAATAAACAGGTGTGTACATAATATTTTCATCCACATGTGAATCTCTACCTTCCTGGTGAAAACTATTTGTGAATACGAATCAGTTGTGTGATACTGATACCCACACTATCACTAGAGCATGCCACGTAGCATTTGTTTCTCTAGGAGCGTGATGTATTAGTCCCTAAAGGTCTGCAGCACAGTTGGGAGCAATTGCTTTTTTCTCCCTAACTCCACCTTCTCTCTTCCAGTGCATATAATGAGGAGGGTAAGGCAGGAAGAAGGTGTAGAAAAGAGTATGTTCCCTTTGACCATGTTCCCTTAGAGGAAAGGAATATCTCAGTCTAGTTCAGTGATGATGAGTTAATGGTATAGGATTTGCCTATTGGACAATGTGCCTGAAGTTTTTTTTAGATTATCTCCCAAAGTTCTTCTCCGCAGCAGTGATTTGGCAATATTCCATGATAACTGCAAGTAAGAGCTTCCACAGTTCTATCCCATTTCTAGTCCAAACAAGCTGTATGTATAGTAATATGGTGCAATAGTGTAAAAAAATTTACAATATAATTTTTTTTTTTTATTCTAGCTCTGTCTGGGCTATATAGTCCCTGCCTGTTTTATTTACTTCATACCTATTCTCGTTTTGTAGCTATTTCCTTTTGCTTGTAGTTCTAAGGTCAGTCAAAGGACAAGATGTTCCTTCCAGAGATGAGTTGTGAACATGAACAAGTAAACTGTGTAAATGCTTCTTTTCTTCTGTGTCATTCTGAAAACCTAGTATGAGGGAAAATAAAACCAAAACAGTCTCCTTCAGCTCAGAATTTAGGTCCTCAGATTTTGAGGTTGACGTTGTTCCTTTGATGCCTCTCAGTAAATTACAACAAAATAGTTGCAAGGTGCTCCAATCCCATGCTCACATAAATTGTAATTCTCCAGGTTGAAACTGGGATTTTTTGTGGCCATTAGAATGTATGGGACAGAATAATTTTATTTTTTTTTTCTATTTTGCTAGAATTTTTTTCAATAATTTAATTTCATTGTTTCTATTTTTAAAATGATGTCTTGAGTCATAAACAATGTTGCAGACCTTACATCATGCTAGAATCATCTATACTTTGCTACAACATTAATACAAGTGTTAATGGCTACTATTCTAAATATTTGCTCTGTAAGATCAGAGGATTTTAATATCCAGCCAGAAAAATTGATTAATAGAAACAGAAAGAGTAGTAGTACTACAGTCAGGTCCTCTTTCTTTCTTCTTCTGGACAGTGTAAAAGTGCTGGTGGTGCTTAATGCCTTCATTCATAAGCAGTTACAATAAGTCTTTAATTATTTCTGGCATATGTCCTTTACATTCAAAGCCTGTAAATCTCAATGGGTAAAGGGTAATATGTCTTAACAGGTTACACCTCCCAAAGGATTTGTTGATTGACATCAAAATTGTTTCCCCTCCCTCTGTTCTGAGTGACAGAATGGCAGGTGTGAAGTGATGGCAGTGTGCTGTAATAATGTGTCAAAAGACCTTAAATCAAGACTAATGTGGCTTCAATGATAAGCTCCCAAACGTTTGTATGGCAGAAAATGGAACTGTAGGGCATATTCATCTTGGGACTATTATATCTTTGCACTTCCTAAAAGCACTTTTTAGTTAGGGTCCTTGGATGATTACAGGTCAGAGGTTTTAGAAGTATTTCTTCTTACAAAGTCATCAGGAGGAGAAAAACATTTCTATGCTCAGTACTGCAAAATGAAGAACTTACATCTAGTGGGTTGCTCACACAATGATGTTTTGTTATAAATGTAATCCAGAACCTGAAACAGATAAAAATATACTTGTTTCAGCAGCTACTGATGATCGCTCCTTTGAACGAAACTCGGCATTTAATGTTTGAAGAAACAGTAAAAAGGCAATTAGCATAAATAAGGGTGAATACACAGATTCATGCAAGCCACCTCTGATGTGCAGTTTGTAGAGAATTTCCTGACTAAAGGGAAACTGAACTCACAGTCGGAAACATGATGTGTCATTAAATCTCCATTTTATTCTACGAGAGTGGGTCTTAGCATATATAGATATAAAAAAAATAATAAGAAAATAGTACAGAAGCTGCTCAAGTCCATTCAAATTGTGGTACAAAAGGATCCTCAAATTCTGCATTAAAAGTACAGCAGTGGTCTGAATTCTGCCCTAAGGGGCAAACAGATATTCTCTGACTTTCCCAAGGTTTCAGATCAGGGCCTTCCTCTTCAGTTTCTGTATTTGAGGGTAATTGAGCAGAGTACCTGAGAGTACGGACTGCAGATTTTTGTGTACAAAACTCAAAAGGCTTTTGCATGTTGTTACGTCTCTCAAGACAAGAAATTTTGCATTTATTATACAAGTTTAGCCAGAATGTTATGAATTTTAATGAGGAAAAAATGGCAGTCCTGTTGATTATTTCTCTTCTTTGGAAAGCAATTTTTGTGCATTAAAACTGTAGGGCATTTTAAGCTAATCATTATCCAGAGAACTTCATGCTGAAAATTTACAGAAACCTGGCAATTGGATTTTTTTACATTGTGTATATTAGTAAAAGCTTTTCTGTACTAAAAAAAAAAAAAAAAAAAAAAAGAAAAAGAAAAAAGAAAAAAGCATATTTATATATTATTTATATATATATAAACAAACAGGAAAATCATTTTATGATAGGCAAAAAACATAAATGTGGAAAACCAGAGATTTTTTTCCCTATGTTTACTACACAGCATTTACACAGGATGCTAGCAATGGATGGAACACCACCGTTTCATGAAGGATATGAGAGCCGATATTGAAATGTGCTGGCTAGCCCAATCTAGTTGGAACTGAATGAATGTTATAGTCACACTGTGTCAGTGTGGGGTGCGTATGAAGGTTAAATGAGAAACTCTGAGTACAAACACCAAAGAAAGGGAAATTATTGCTTTGGCCTTGGACAACGTTCACTGTGGGTAAGACATGAACTATGTTGGCAGGGCAGGTGGGAGAAATGATAATTCCTTATGTGCCATTCCTGAGCTGTGAGAAAGCAGAGGTTTTAGGTTATCAGACCTCTCTAAATAAGTTAAACCAAGATAAAACAATTTAAGATCTTTACTTAATGCTTAATGTCACATTAATGTGTGGCCTCTTGTTTCAGTCTCAATCTGCTCGGTGATAATTAGCTAAGACAAGAGGCACAGAAGGGCAGGTCTTTATAGAGCATTGCAAAGAATTTTGTGCTTCCCTAAAAACAGCATTGTCAGGTGTCTTGTTTCCTTGCAGGTTTGTATGTGTATCTTTTAATTAGTTTTCAGCAATATGATGACAGATACTGGAAAGTAAGAAGGGCTTATATGATAGTACTACATTCCGGCTCAGAAGAAAAAACACTTATTGCCCTGTGTTTTCTGGGAGTGCCCAGAAAAGAGCTCTGTTGCAAATCCAACTGCCTGCTTTGGTAGCTATTCCTAATGAAACAGGTATGAAAAAAATAGGGTAGAAGGCAAGCCAACTCAGGCAACAAATGAAGAAAATAAAGTAACCATCCAAAAGGGAAGCCAATACAGTCTCTTTAAATTATAATTGTAGGTCAGTTTAAGAAAAAAATTACCCTCCCAAAATTACTGTTGACTGACAGCAAAGTAATGCTCATGGCGTCTTTGGAGGAACTTGCCTTACGTACCTTTCAGTGCACAACTAGGAGCTATTTCTGACAGAGGGGAGTCTAGTACAGAAAAAGAGCTGGTTCCAAATTTTATTTCATATGCGTGAAATTGGATTTCTGGGAAGGGAGGAAAGGGTCTGTGGTCATGGACATAACACCAAAAGTTAAATTAAGCACAAGCAGTATGAAAAATTAAGACTTCTTCAATTATTGCATAAATCAGTTGGCTTGAAAGTACAAGTATATGGAAGAACATTTCCTTTTCACCATGCAAACAAACTGAAAAAAGGAGTTTAAAAACTTTTCAATTTCTTTCCTTTTCTTTCTTTACCTTTAAAACTAAGTCTTCCTTATCAGGTTTGTGAATTGCAATAATAATTGAAAAAACCCAAACCTGTTCTTTTTCCTTAAGAAGCTTGTGTGTGTGTGTGTGTGTTTTGAGGGTGTGAGAGCTGGTTATTTTGTTTGATTGTCTATTTTTGCATATAAAATACTGCAAAAATATCCACTATGGTGAAATCTCAACCTTCCACCCAAGCAGCCTTTGCAGGAAATGTTTTCATTGGAAAAGTTAGTAAAATACGAAAATATTCTTAAGCCTCATTTTTCTTCTGAAGCTTTACTTAACCCTCATGCAATAAATACAATCACTGAAGTGAGAAATGGACCCTTTTAATAAGGCTTTTAACTACACATCTTAATGAATCCTAAACAAATGGTGTTTGTGCCACTACGTTTGTTGCATGTGTGTTTATGTATACTATGAAAGCAAAAGAAATACTTTTCATACTTACAGATTTATTGTTCTATGGTAATTTCCAAACAGCACTACAATGTAAACAGATAACTTTTTAAGAACTGCAGTTTACTGGCTTTCTTCTTTACATAACTAATGACCACCAGGAGGGGCTTCACAGTAGCTTGATTTGTTACTAGATGCAGAAAATATGTGGATCTGCCTATGAGGACAATGTTTGCATTTTAAGCTATGTTTACTTTTATTTGACTTTTGTTGTTGTTGTTGTTGTTGTTGTTGTTTCTGTAAAGAAAACTTACATCTCTGACCTCTGACACTGGCTAACCAATGCTGTAGGGACATGCAAATGGAAACTTCCTACATCCAGGTGTTAATTTAACAATAGTTAAATCCCCGTATGCTACTCTTGTCCCTCCTCTTCTCTAATTCTAGTGAACTTTGTGCTTTATAAAATAAAGCTATTTCAAATATGAATAAATCTGTATGCAAACCCACCCTCTTTCCCACAAATACAAAACTGAATATGAATGTCAGAACCCGTGCACATGCCTACTTTCCGTATGAGAGCATTCTGCCTATCTGGAGAAGTGATTTG